ACTGCACACCACAGCAAACCTTTCCCCCCTCTCCTGCCTCCCAGAGTGCCAAACATCACTAGCTCCCCCCGCCCCGTCTTCCCTGCTCCGGCCGTGGGGGCAGTCTCACCACAGCTGGAGCCCCCTGCCCCAGCCACCCCCAGCTGGCCAGAGTGAGATGGGGTCACCCATCTTTTAGGAAAGGCAATGCCTTCCCTTGACTACATTATCTGCAACATATATTCCTAAGGTATGCTATTAGGAGGGGGCTTATGTGCCCTATTTGAGAGGGAAATGAGCAGTGTGATCATAAACCCTTGTACGGGAAAAAGAAGAAGAGATGAAGGGAACAACAGAAACTGTTGATGTTGAGAGAAGACTCAGCATACTGGATCTACTATGAGTGGTGGTAAAACTTTGGACATTTGGGCCATTTAAGCTAGTGTTTCCCAACCACGAGTCCGTGGACCAGTGCCAGGCTCGGAACCATTGGCTGCCAAAGCTAAAGCTGGCTGTTCGCGGCAGCCCCTTAGTGCACCGGAAATATTTATTTGCATATTTGAATAGTCAATGTTTGTGGAATGAATATGCAAATATGCAAATAAAATACTGCTGGACTGCCAAAAGTTTGTGAATGGGTTTGCCAGTCCGTGGTATAAAAAAGGTTGGAAACCATTGATCTAAGCAACCATTGTTGTGATGCAGTAGGTGCCTGGGGAAGAAGGATATTGTGTGTGTGTGTGTGTGTTGCAGGCTCACTCTATGAATTTTGGAGTTGGACATGAAAGTGGTGAGGAATCAGGACCTTTGGTGTGAGGATTCGAATTACTGTCTGATGTTTAGCTTCTGTGCACAGAGTGATTATTGAAAGAGTAACAAGAAGTCCCGTGGCACCTTATAGACTAATAGATATATTAGAGCATAAGCTTTCATGGGCAAAGAACCACTTCGTCACATTCATCTGACGAAGTGGGTCTTTGCCCACGAAAGCTTATGCTTCAATATATCTGTTAGTCTATAAGGTGCCACGGGACTTCTCATTGTTCTTGCAGATTAAGACTAACATGGCTTCCCCTCTGA